ATGCTGGCGCAAACCATGTTGGGCATACATGTGTTGCTGCTCCACTGTCGATCATGAGATGCGCTCTGCTGGAATCAGCTGTACTCTGTGTCTTGCTTACCTGTTGATGCCCAATGGCTGCAATGAGAAGGTCGTTGCCGACCCCGCTGATGAAGTGGATTTGCTCAGTGTTTGCTTGAGCTACTGGATATGTTGGAGCTGGTGGTAAGGCTAACTGCTGTTGCGACTGCGGCTGCTGAACATGTCGTAAGTCCTGGCTCCACCATGTTGCATCATACTGTTGGTCATTCCACCATGCTTGTGTCTGATCTTCATATGTCGCTTCCCCCATGTTGTACACTGCCACTCGACAATCCCGGGCCATGTGACCTGGGTTGCCGCACTTGTAGCAGATTGCTGTGACCGGCTTACCTTTGCCTTTTCCTTTGTTGCCTTTGTGTGGTGCTTGTGCATAGCCCTTGCTGAATGGATTGCCTTGTCCAATCGGCTGTTGTTGCCATCCTTTCTGTTGCATCTGTATCTTTCCTTTGCTCTTGCCGAATCCTCCTTTGTTGTAGTTTCCATTGCCTTTTCCCTTGCTGTCGTTGTAGCCCTTGTTCTGCTTGCTTTTGCCCTTGTTGCTCTTTCCTTTGTAGCCTTTTCCTTTTCCTTTGTTGATTGCTCCTATGTCCATTGGCGCGGCTCCTCCTCCTCCTTGGTATGTTGCTTGAGCTGATGTGGCTTGTTGCATCCTGCTGAAGGCTGTAATCGACTTGTAGTATTCCATGATGGTTGTTCTGATGTGTGTGTATGTTGGATTTGTACCTGCTTCTAGTTGTAGATGTTGCTGTAGCGAACCTTTGGTCTCGTTGAGCAAGATGGCGACTTTGACTGTGTCTGGTAATGGTGATTGGTTGTCTGTCTCAAATCTGTTGACTTCATATTCCCATTGTGTGAAAGACTCTTCGAAGTTGTGCTGATCGAATGTTGGTTTGAGAAGTCGTGTGAGATAACCGATCCCTCGAGTTCCTGTTGGAATCATGAATCGGACATGGAGTTGTCTCCATATCTCGAAGCCTGTTGCCTGCTGATATTGTCTGCAAATCATGGCTGCTGATCCACTGGTGATGCTGATGAGGATGTACTTCAGATCTGCTGACATTTGGATGTTCTCGTTGGCTTCTTCTGTTGTTGATGCTGCTCCTCGTAGTCTTGCCTCATCAATGAGGGTGGCTGCTGCTGCTGTCTGGTCTAGCAGTAGTGATACCTGTTGTTGGTGAGTCCCATGTATGCTGTGAATTTGTACTTCCATTCCTCGAAGTGTGCATAGTTGCCGTTGCCGTCAAATGTTGGTGGCTTGACGCGGTACTTGTGTGAGCTTGCTAATGCTTCCTGTGGTTCTTGTCCTTGTTGGTCCCCTGCCTGCGCCATTGCCAAGAAGTCCCTACTGGCCCGTTGCTGATCAGTAGATCAAGCCTCTTCGGCAATGGCTGTTGATGCTATGGCTATGCTTTGTTGTTGTGACTGATCGGTTGATCAGTTGAGCAGCCCGGATCGTTTCCAGGTCTGCTCCGCTACCATGTAAAGTTTGAAGTATTGTTGTTTGCTGAAATGCTCGCGCCTTTCTGTTTGAATGTTGAATGTGCTCAAGGGCCCTAGTGTTGAGCCACAATGTTGAGGTATATCTCCCTCAATGTTGGGAACAGTGTCATGTTGAATTTCACACCTCTCCCGCTCCCTCTCCCTCTCCGGCTCCCTCTCCCGCTCCCTCTCCCGCTCCCTCTCTCGCTCCCTCTCTCGCTCCCGCTCTCGCTCTCATTCTCGCTCTCGCTCCCGCTCCCGCTAGTTCTATTTACAGTGCAACACACAGAGGGGTCCGGGGTTCACTGATAAATTTTCAGCATGGCCTTTGCTGCAGGGGATCATTGAGTGTCCTGCCAGTCTCCTCAAGTTTGCTGCGCAGTCTTTGGAGTTTCCCAGACGATGAACGTAATCCGCAACAGAGAACGTAACGCTAGAATGGAAGGAAAATACTCATTCCTGATGCTTATGCAAACTCCTCACTGCATCATACCTCATCCAATCTCAATGCTTTGCCTTGCATTGACAGCATCGGGTCACTACTCTCATGAGATTTTGCTTCCTGACCTTTTAATCCCGACTGATCGTGGTGGGCTCAAAGCCTGCACATGCCACCCTGGGTGGTTGAGGTGGCCCGCTTTCTCTCGGCTGGCAGCTCATCGGGTTGGTGGGGTTTGGTTTGTCCTACCCATTGCAACAGTCCTTCTTCTTGGCTGGATTTTGTTCTGGCTGCCTGTGCGCCTTTTGCTTTGGCTTCTGGCTCCTCCACAGGTCTCGGATTGGGACCATCCACCCGGCCGCCTGGCCTTCGAGTGCTTCATCGACCACCTCCCGCCTTGCGGCGTACGTGCGTGAACGAGGTCGCTCCAGCCTCTTTGACTGAGACTCTTCGTTCTATTGCTCGTTCACTACGTGTGCTTGCGGACTCCCTGGATTCGGTTGCTTCTCCACCAGGTGCTTCTTCTGCCCTTCCGGGCCTGACTCCTGAGATCTCTTCCGATACTGTGGATACCGTTGACTGGGACCTCATCAACCATCTGGACAGCTTGTCTGGGCATTTGGTGAGCCAGGGTTCTGCTTTAGCCCCTGGGCCTTCGAGCTCAGTCCCTGCAGGCTACAACGGCGTCGCGCGTGGACTTTCTCCTCTTCCTGATCACTGCCTGGACCTGTGCCGTCGCCTTTCAGGGACACCGGAGGAGATCAAGAGCCGTGCCAAGCGTGCCTGGGAGGCAGGACTTTGGGCAAGGGCTACTTTGGAAGGGCGAGTTAACAAGCCTCGACCAACTCCAAAGCTGGCGCTTCAGGCCAGCGTCTACGTCGTCCTACGTGGGCCAGGCATTGAGCGACCAACTCGGGTCTCCACTGCTGCAGAGTATTTTAAGCTCCTGCCCACTTTTGAGAATTCGATCTCACATTCGTTCCCTTCTCAGGCCGAGGCCAGAGTCTATTGTCTTGCTGCTGGTGTGGTGTTCCCTGAACCCGGCGATCAATAGAGATGGCTTCACAGATCAAGTTCTTGGACCAGGGAGTTTTCTTGGTCCATATTTTGGAGCTGGACCTCACCGATTTTGGTCTTCTTCCCAATCAAGAATGCTTTGTGGTTCCTTTGATGAGGAGGGCGTCAGGTTTTATGCTGGCCATTCCCGAAGGTTTCCTGCCAGAGGCAATGATAGAGCAGGGCAACTCAGCTGGATCAACGGGTCTTGCCGGCCCGTCGACCTTGGTGTCGGTGCCTGGTGCGATCGAAGAAGAGGATGGATCGGAGATCCCTGCGGGCTACGATCTTCCTGTGAGGCTAGTGGATCTCAACATCTCTGCGCTGAGCTCTCTTCGAGGCTTCGACCCGGTGACAGAAGGGGAGGGCATCCTATGTTTCTCTCCCGATCATCAGGAAGTGCTGCCAGAATCGAATGCCCTCATGATGGCGGTTTACTCGTGGTTGGAGTCGGAAACCGAGGGCAGGACACAATTCTACTTCGCAGAGGAGCCCCAAGCCCAAGCACCAGCGCCGAAGGCCCCTGCTCGGGCCAAGAAGGCACCAGCTGGTGGGGGTACAGCTCAGAAGAGAGTGACCACCGCGAATTTGGCAGAACAACTAGCCGAGCTTTCAAAGAGCATGCCTGCTATATCATCCCAGCTGGAGACTATGGCAGAGAGACAGGACCGTATAGAAGGCCTTCTAGCCACTCCTTCCTCCAGGTTGCGGAACCAGTTCACAGACAGCCTTTTCCCACCGGCAACCAGGCCGGCCCCTCTGCAGTTCCTTCGAGGCATTGGCAGCCCTCCGCGAGTGAGGGCTCTCCCGGAAAGACCTCGGGCCCAGACTGCAGAGCGGGAAAACATCCCCGAGGACGAACCAGAGTTGCTTCCTTGCGATCCCGATTACACCTATGGCCAGAAGGAGCAGAAAGGACCATTCGACGTGACAGCTGCCATTTTCCAACAGTCCCAGGCTCTATCGACTTTGGTGTCTCATCTGGTCAACCAAGATGGTCTCATGGAGTTTGGCGCGGGCAGCAGTTCATCCGCTATATCCCTCAAGGGATCGGCAAAGAGGGAGAAGCTTTTAGCAGATTTGACAGCCCGACGAGGAGATTTTCTTTTGAAGGTGGCTCAGAATGCTTTCAAGAGGTTGAGGCCTACAGAAAGACTCCCTCGATCTTTGGAGGAGTTTGGAGGCCGTTCAGTCTTTGCCAAGTATCTGGAGAGGAATGGCGGCTTTGCTGGACAGAGGGACCTCGGTTTGGTGATGTGGCTCCTTTGTCAGATAGGGGACGCCATGGTCAATGGCGACCAGAAGGGGGCCCAAGAGCTGCTGGCTTTGTCGATGGTGGCGGTGGACCCTGGAGCAGACAGCACAGGACAGTGGCAAATGGGAAGTGGGATGGATCCTGTCACTTCAGGAAGACCCACCTCCTGGCGTCTTTGTGGCCAGACCTGCTTCGACAAACCCACGTCTGAGAGCCTTCTCCCCTCTCTGCCCGCCAGAGTGGGCTGCCACAGCCCTTTCTTTCGTGAAGGAGGTCGACATTATGAACAATCGCCGTCAAGAAGCTCTCCCTGTCAAGAAGCAAAAGCCCGGCGAAGAGACAGACGACCAAAAGAAGAAACAGCCTCGCTATCCAAAGAAGCCAAAGCAAGGAGGAGATCAGACCTCTACTTAAATGAGGATTTCGAAAATGGAAAACTCTCTGGATGGTCTTTATGATGCCTCTTGTTCCGGAAGGTCGGCTACCTTCTGCCGAGGTAAAGACCAGGGATCCTCCTTCCAGGGAGACCCACCCGTCTCTGTGGGACCTGCCGCAGGTAAGTGGCAGAACATGCAGAGCTACTCCTTTTCTAGATGGGCATCATCCTTGTGCTCACAAGTTTTGGGATCGAGGACCTCTTTTGGGAGCTTTCTTCGGTCTACTCTCTCTGTCACAAGACTGCAACCTAGCATGTCTACTCAAGCTCTTTTCCCGCTGCCAGTGCCGAAGCTTGGGGCGTTCAAGAACTACAAGTGTGGCTCTCGAGAAAGGAAGAAGCGGGCATTTGATCGCGCCTTTCATGTCTGTGTCATGGCTTTCAATTTTTGGCACGCGGACTACAAGCGCATCCCGATTTCCTCGATTGCAAGAACTCCAAATGATGCCCAACAGGAGGCACTGATGAATCTCAAGCGGATGTTAAGAGCTTTCGGTAGCTCGGAGGAGGAGTTCTCTGTTCCGAAGAGTGGCCGTAGAATCACTTCGTTGATCTCCATGCTCTCGGACCTTTCTGAGTTTGTCACCTGGGAAGGTCTTGGTGGAGATATCTATTCAGGTGTTTATCCTGGTTCTCAAGAAGGCTACAGGACTGTTGTTGAAGTGCCTCGAGATCTCGACCGAGCCGATGAACTTCGACCATATCGGACATTAGATCCTTCGAGGCTTACTTTGTCAGGAAAAGCTGAATGGGACCCCCAGGAATATCTGTCAGACAAGTTGTGGATGGCGTTCAATGAGCCTGAATCTTTGAGGTGGACAGCCTCAGTGGCTACAGACGACGTTCCAAACTTGTCAAAGGAGAAATATCATATGGTGAAAGATCTTGCCCTCCTCTGGGACGTGAATGGCCTTCTCTACATTCACGAACCTGCCGAAGAAGGGATGGAGCTCTCAATGAGGTTCTTCAATTGCTACAAGAACAAAGAGACTGACAGAATGGCTGGACTTCCTACCGGCCAGGCCCTTCTTGACCTTGAATGCCGCCTCCCTGATCAACGCATCTCAATTTGTGCCTCTGACCGCAAGGACTTCTACCATCAGCTGAGGGTTCACCCAAAAAGAGCTATTACAAACAAGCTCTTCCCACTGCTGGACATTACTGACCTGAACGGCACTCAGGCCTTTCAGAAGTGGTGCCTCCGGCATGACTCAAAAAAGAAGAGGTATGACCGACTGAGAGAAGGTGATTTCCTAGGACGAGATCCAAGACAAGCAAAAGGAGGCGCTCCGCCTCGTCTGGTGCATGCATGTTTTGCCAGCGTCCCTCAAGGAGATCACCTGGGTGTCGAGTTTGCCACTGAAAGTCACAGAAACTTTCTCTATGGACATGGGCTACTAGACTCAAGCAGTGAGCTTCGATCTGGAAAGCCCTTCTATGGAACAGACCTTGCCACCGGCCTTGTGATCGATGACTACTATGCAGTTTCATTTGAATATGCGGATTGTCCACTGTGGAGGCCTCGGGAGGACGTCTCCGCTCTGCCTTCATCGAAGGCAGCAAAAAGGCTAAAGGAGGCAAATGAAGCATATACCCAAGCTGGACTCCTTGGCTCCCCAAATAAGGACATCACAGACGAGGAGAAAGCCTGCATCATGGGCGCTGAGATTCTGCAACACGGAGGCTTGGCATGATCACAGTTGGTGCACCCGTGCAGAAGAGACTAGCTTTGGCATTTGTGTCTCTAACCTTGGCTTCATCCCGCTTCTCCACAGATGCTTTGCAAGCCTCATTGATTGGAGGGTGGGTCAATGCTGTGCTCTACAGGCGCCCTGCGATGTCACTGATCTATGACCTCTACAAGACTCCATTGTCTGATGTACATGAGACCCCGAGGTTGATCCATTTGACTAGATCTATGGCTCAGGAACTACTGCTGCTTTCAGTGCTCTGCCCTTTTTGGGTCACGGACATCTCAGCAATCCCTCAAAGTCGATGCTACTCTACGGACTCCTCAGACTCCAAAGGGGCGGTTGTCTCTTGCCCGATCTCAGCAGAGCTTGCAACAGTTTTGTGCCGCACTGGGCGAAAGAAGACGACCTACTCCAGGATGCTCACCCGTGAGGAGACGTTGTTGAGGAAGCTTGATTGGTCGCGTGAGGAGTTTCAAGACCTCCCGGACGGTCGTCGAGATGAGGACCCAGGCCCAGAGCGGCCTCGTGCCTTCAGGTTCCATTTCATTGAAGTCTGTGGAGGTGCAGGAAGAGTAAGCCACTTTATGAGAATGTACGGCTGGAATGTTGGGCCAGTCATTGACATTGACCGGTCCCCTGCCTACGACTTTTCTTTGCTCAGAGTCTTGCAGTGGTTGGCACATCTCATTGAGAACGACCTGCTTGGCTCCTTCATGGTGGAACCTCCCTGCACAACTTTTAGCCCTGCTCAATATCCTGCTTCAAGAAGCTATACGAGTCCAAGAGGCTTTGATCCAAATGAACCAAAGACCCTGCTTGGGACTACATTGGCTCTGCGGGCGCTCTCCCTGATGTACTTCGCCTCGACTTTTGAGGTTCCGGGGTTGCTGGAGCAACCCAGGAGATCCAAGATGCGAAAGCTTCAGGAGTGGCAGCGTTTGCTGAATCTCAAGAGGGCCTCAGAAGTTTGGACAGCCAGCTGCATGTGGGGCTCTCCTCATCAGAAAGAGTTCGTATTCTTGGTGTGCTGCATGGATGCTTCCAACTTGCATCGAAAGTGTGATCGTTCCCATGACCACATCCGCATAGAAGGAAAATGGACCAAGGAGTCAGCAACATATACAGAAGAGCTCGCATCAGGCCTTGCTTACAGCTTTGACCGAGCTTTGAGGAGGAAGATGAAGGCCCTAGAGATCAAGGCTTCGGGGCTAGAGTCGCCTCTATGTAACGAGATCATCCTGGCTTCAAGGTGGTCGCTGGAGAAGGTTTGGAGATGGAAGAGACCCATGCACATCAACATCCAGGAGGCGCTGGCTGCTGAGAGGCTTTTCAAGCAAGAAGCCATCATTCGGCCAAAGACTCGGTTTCCAGTCATCATGGACTCCAATGTTGGCCTCTCTGCTCTTGCGAAGGGAAGGTCGCCCTCAAGAGGCCTCAGAAATGCCCTTCGAAGAGCAGGCTCTACCCTGGTTGTTGGGTGCCTGTACCCTTCCATCCATTTTGGACCAACTCGCATCCTGCCTGCAGATTGCCCTACTCGTGATCATGATTTCCCTGAGGCCAGAGACAGTTTCACCCAGGCTGACATCAATAAGGCCTCGCTTCTGGATTTTGCAAGAGTTTCCGGGCTCAGACGTTTTGCAGCAAACTGGGTCAGGCTTAGCCTAATGCTCCTGGGAGGAATTCCGCCTTGGTTCGGATCTGCTGAGAGTTGGCGCTTTGCACATGTACATCCATCCAGGTATCCTTGCGCACCCCGATCTCAGCTTGGATTTAACCCTTTGGACTTTGATGCGACTCGCGGCTTCTTCGGGGAGGGTCCTCTGTTTTGGGGGCCTCTCTCAGGTTCAGAGGCCGGAGAGCATTGGACTTGTTCTTGGCTTTGCTCCTTTCTTGCTGTCCTCCTTCTCTACGCTGGCATCCAAAGGCAGCCACGAACTCTTGGAGTCGGTATGGGCCCAAGGAGAAGTCCGACCAAGCCAGGCCGGTCCCGCTCCTCGAGCCCGATGTTTCCTAGCGTTGGACTTCACGGTTGTGGTACCCCCAAATGGTGGTTTTGGTTACTGATGAGCTGCCAGTTACTAGGATCGACCACGGCCGTAAGCCATGGACCGAAGCTCATCCCAAGACATCAGGCCGATTTGGAACTACCTCAAGGGCGACCAGTTTTGCCTGCCACTCAGAAGCGCAGAGACTTTCTGCTGGAACAATTTGCATCATGGCTCAAGGGGCATGACATGTCCCTTGATGAGATTCTTTTGACGACCACCCCCGACATAGAAGCTTTGAACGTGATGCTTGAAAAATACGGTAGAGAGCTCTACAGGTCAGGACGCCCGTATGGACACTACTCTGAAACGCTGAACGCCGTGTCGGGTCGTCGACTAAGAGTGAGGAGGTTTCTCCAGCCAGCGTGGGATGTTGCGTATGGGTGGCTCCGTCAGGAGCCACCAAACCACCACCTCGCGCTCCCTTGGCAAGCATTGCTGTCGCTCATTGCCACCTCATGGATGTGGGGGTGGAACAGAGTTGCTGGAGTGATTGCCCTCTCTTGGGGGGGCATCACAAGGATTGGAGAGGTTCTTGCTGCCTGCCGAAGGGACTTAATCCTTCCTTCGGACGTTGAAGGTTCGATCAACTACGCCCTCCTGCAGATAGCCGAACCAAAGACACGATTCAAATGTGCTAGGCACCAGATAGCACGATTGGATCATCCACAGTTGCTCAAGACCATCGAGGTCGCGTTCCAGGACCTTGAACCCTGGCAGCAACTGTGGCCTGCATCGCCGCAAACTATGAGACTTCGTTTCAACAAGCTGCTGAAAGCTACAGGTCTGGACCAGTTGCCAGATGGCATCAGCCGAGGCATAGATCTCGGCTCTTTAAGGGCTGGAGGAGCCTCCTGGCTCCTCCTCTCCAGCGAGGACAGCGAGATGACAAGGCGCCGAGGCCGCTGGATCACCACCAAGGTGATGGAGATCTACGTGCAGGAGGCATGGTCTGTACAGTTCATGCCAAAGCTTCCTCGACAGGTGAAGCAGCAGATTTGGAACGGAGCCCAGCTTTTTCCTTCGGCATTAGAGTATGTGACCACCTGGAAAGCTGCAAGCATTCCGGAGTCCGCATGGCCTTTGCTGTTTCTCAACGCAGCTAGAGACTTTGAGCTGAACATCATGGGAGTGAAGAAGATGGGTGGTGTTGCACCACTTTTCCCGCGTGGTGTGTGTGCACCTCCGTTCACGGCAGAGAGAAACAAGAGCTTGAGGGATTAATTAGTTGCATTTGACCTCACTTCTTTTTAAGTATCCCTCCTCCTCCTCCTCCTCTTCCCCCCTCTACACATTGGTTGTTACTCGTCAAACACAGTGTGTTGTTCACTCAACAGGCTGCAGTTTCCAGCTTTGCTCTAACCACAGCAACTGATGCATCAGTTTGCTTTTGTTCATCCTCTCAGCACATTCTTGCCAGAATGTTGCGAGTTGTGCCTTTTTGGAATTTGAGCTGGACAAATCCGCGAGGACCCTCCGAAGCCACAACTTAAGCCGCCACCGCACCAGCCAGCACAAATGGCTGTCACCTTCAAAGATCGCAACTTGGGCACAATTGTGCGAAAGTGTCCAAAACTTTGGGCAAGTTAAATTGTAGTCATGTGTACCGCAATGTTGGGCATGGTTTGGCTTTGCCCTGCTCAGCTTTTGTCCGCAAGTGTGAAGTGAAGGCCAACCAGACCCACCAAGCGTCTCTTGCCTCAACTTGAGAGGAGGAAACGAAACAGATGTGGAGGAGTACGTACGGGTGAAACGGGACACACGTTTCCAAATTGACATGCTGAGGTTCTTGTGGTCACAGACGGCTGGGCGGGTGTGCCGGGCGTGCCAAATCACAGCACCCCTGGCAAGAAAGTCGTGACGCTCCCAGATGACACAGATGCAAAGCCTGGTGGAGATGACTCTTGGCAAGCATGCTTTCGCACGCGGCACATGGTGTTGAGGGGCCCCTGAACTGTTCCGTGATGTTGAGCCAAGGAATCGAGAACCCATAGGCCCTCCATTATGTCTTGCGATTTGGACGACACTTGGCAACTAACTTGTGTATCGGACAACATTGGTTGTATGTAGATGTATGTAGTGTACACCTGCAATCTGCAACTACTAGTTACTAGTTTTATCAATGAGGAAAACGATGCCGCCAAGACCAGAGCGAACCTGGCTTCGCGCCACACGATTGCAAGAGCTGCAGGGCAGGTCACGTGAGGCACCAATAGGCTTTCTATTTGGCTTTTTGTCTCCACAATATTGTCAAGAGTAAGGGATCAGCCGCAACTGGCCACTTGAAAAAATGTTCCCGATTTTGTGATGGAGCCTGAGGCATGACGGTGAGCATTCCACATTTGCAAAAGGACGGTTTCCTAGAACCTGTGACTTTGCCATTCTGGCATCCAGGCGCGGGTAGTGGCTTACGCATGACGTAGGCACCAGTCACCAGGTGCCTTCAAAGGCACAACACAAAGACTTGCAGAATTCATCAGAGGATCTGGTTTTATCATGTTTGATTGTGCTTTTGTAAGAACATCACTTGCTGCTATTCTTCACTGCAACTGGATGGCTTTGCAACAATACCATTCATTGATCGATGTTGGCTGCATGAAATTGAACGGCTTCACGCAATGCTTGTACAGATGAAGCCCTGAGGTCGATATGTTCATACCACTGCATTTGATGCAATATTCTGCGGAGTTATTGTGGCAAACACTTTGGTGAAGCATGGCCGCAATGGAAAGGTATATTTCCGCACTCGTGGACCCAGTCAACTGCACGTAAACGCAAGTCAATTAATCAATCAGTCGGCAGCATGTATCTAGCCTAGGATGGCGTTGGAAATGCAGTACACTGGCTTGCAGCGGGGATACGAGCTCGGATTTCAACATTTTACCATGCCTGCAAGCACCTTGACTGCTTGGCAAACCTGTGGAAATGCAAGGCGATCCAGGCAGGTGTCAGAGGTGTTTTGTTTGGAGGGTGCAAGTAGCCCAACTTGCCCAGAATGATGTGACAGCAACGGAACCCGAGTCCGGCCGACCTAGAACAGGTTGGATTTGAGTTGCCACTAGGCTTTAGCAATTGTGCTGGCAGGTATTTATGTATTTCATTTATTACCATTAATTGTTGCAAGTACATTAGACATTGGATATCATTAGATGTGTTGTTTCCTCGTTTCTTGGAGGTTTTGCACAAAAGCCATTGTAAAAGTTGGCAGAGACGTTGTCAACACAAATGGCCACTGCCATTTTTGACAGTAGCCAGTGACGATTGTGCAGATCCTCTACCGAGTTTAAACATTTGGGACCCTTTAGCAGCAAGGGAGTCAGCAAGGGCTAAAGGCAGGACAGATTACAAGTTATACCCTACGTCTCATGAGTGGGAGGTTAAGCATTTCTGTCTGGATGTTTGTTTGGGGCAATGTCGTGCAACTGCAAGGATAAGCAGACCAGATAAGTCCAAACACTTTAAATCCCGGCTTCAAACATCAGCAATTCCTACAACTCAGCCTGATTCCGCAAACTCTTGATGCAGGGCAAGTTTTGGTAAGCAGACACTTCCATTCCTTGCAAAACTCGAGATAGCTTTTGTCATGAGAGCTTCGACCAACCCTTGTGTGATTTGTATTTGTTGAACCAAGCGAACTCCTGTCCAGATGAGGTGAGTACTGGCCGCAAGCAAATCTTGTGTTCCAAGCGCTGGACCGTCTTGACCGAATACGCTCAACGTGTGAGTTGAACTTGTCATGGCATTGTATTTTTGGTAGATTTGCTATGAGTCATGCTCAATTGTGGTTTTAACAGCGGATGACTTCAAGCCCTGCCAGGATATTTGCTTCGGCATCGTCTACACTATTGAATTGATCGTTAAGCTTGTGGGCTTTAAACTTCGCTTCTTCAAGGAGTCTTGGGATGCTGGATTAAGCGCACTAAATTATGGTTTCTATGAAAGCATATTCTAAGCTCCAAACATTACAAGTAGTTCCCGGGCAAGCCGGCGGCGGAAGTTTCCTATAAGAAGACATTGACCTATAGGAGTGTCCACGTTCTCTCCAACATGCGTGTCCTCCAGTCAAACGCACGCGCTCCGGACTTTTGACACACGGGATTCCACGTGTGTAAGGTGTGTGTGCCCCCTGCGAGAGATGACACACATCCGGCCACCACGACTTGCCAAGGATGCGGTCCACATCGGACTGAATGGAATCCGAATTTGAATGTAAAATCTGTCTTGAACTCTGAGACTATGTATGATGAGTCTTGTATGATGAGGGGTGTATGACAAGTGATGAATGATGAGTGGTGTATGTTGAGTGGTGTATGATGAGTGGTGTATGACGAGTGGTGTATGATGAGTGGTGTATGCTGACTGGTGTATGATGAGTGGTGTCTTGACCAGCAGTTGAATGTCCTGTCCTGCATAACTGCAACCAAATACTATCAGTATGAACTGAACGTGCACGCCGCGAGAGATGACTCAGCAGCGAGAGATGACTCAGTCGCGAGAGATGACTCAGCCGCGAGAGATGGCTATAGCGAGAGCTGACTCAGCAGCGAGAGATGAATGAGCAGCGAGAGATGACTCCTCCGCGTACTACACTGTTCGCCAGTACAACTCTAGTTGTACTACGAAGTCGCCAGTCCTCAGCTTCTAGCTGCACAGATTGCTCCGCGCGCTGAAGTTGTACTACAATGTCGCCAGTTCTCACCATCCAGCTCCACAGATACTCCGCGTACTAGAGTTGCACTAGAAAGTCGCCAGTTCTCATCGCCCAGCTCGCCAGATACTCCGCGTACCAAAGTTGTACTACAAAGTCGCCAGTTCTCAGCTTCCAGCTCCCCAGATGCTGTGCCTGCCACGAAATCTGCACATGGAGGTTCACAAAGTGCTGCGCCTGCCACGAAATCTGCACATGGAGGTTCACAAAGTGCTGCGCCTGCCACGAAATCTGCACCTGGAGGTTCACAAAGTGCTGCGCCTGCCACGAAATCTGCGCGTGGAGGTTCACAAAGTGCTGCGCCTGCCACGAAATCTGTGCGTGGAGGTTCACAAAGTGCTGCACCTGCCACGAAAACTGCACATGGAGGCTCACAAAGTGCTGCACCTGCTACGAAATCGGCACATGGAGGCTCACAAAGTGCTGCGCCTGCCACGAAATCTGCACATGGAGGTTCACAAAGTGCTGTGCCTGCTAGGAAATCTGCGCATGGAGGTTCACAAAGTACTGCACCTGCCACGAAATCTGCACATGGAGGTACACAAAGTATAGCACCTGCCACGAAATCTGCACATGGAGGCTAAAGTTGTACTAGAAAGTCGCCAGTTCTCAGCTTCCAGCTCTACAGATTGCTCCGCGTACTAGAGTTGACTAGAAAGTCGCCAGTTCTCAGCTTCCAGCTCTCACAGATTGCTCCGCGTACTAGAGTTGTACTAGAAAGTCGCCAGTTCTCAGCTTCCAGCTACAGATTGCTCTGCGTACTAAAGTTGTACTACAAAGTCGCCAGTTCTCAGCGTGGGCAGGTTCACAAAGCGCTGCGCCTGTCACGAAATCTGCACCTCGAGGCTCACAAAGTGCTGTGCCTGCGACGAAATCTGCACATGGAGGTTCACAAAGTGCTGCGCCTGCAACGAAATCTGCGCGTGGAGGTTCACAAAGTGCTGCGCCTGCCACGAAATCTGCGCATGGAGGTTCACAAAGCGCTGTGCCTGCCACGAAATCTGCGCATGGAGGTTCACAAAGTGCTGCGCCTGCAAAGAAATCTACACATGGAGGTGCACAAAGTGCTGTGCCTGCCACGAAATCTGCACATGGAGGTTCACAAAGTGCTGCGCCTGCCACGAAATCTGCACATGGAGGTTCACAAAGTGCTGTACCTGCCAGGAAATCTGCACGTGGAGGTTCACAAAGTGGTGCACCTGCCACGAAATCTGCGGGAGGTTCACAAAAGGCTGCATTGCGTTGGCAGAAGCGGGTTGTGACTTTTGCGCGAAGACACGAAGACACGAAGACACGCGAAGACACGCGAAGACACGAAGACACGCGAAGACACGAAGACACGAAGACCCGAAGACACGAAGACACGCGAAGACACGAAGACACCGAAGACGCGAAGATATGAAGACACGCAGACACGAAGACACGAAGACGCAAAGATATGAAGACACGAAGACACGAAGACCCGAAGACACGAAGACACGCGAAGACACGAAGACACGCGAAGACACGAAGACACGAAGATACGCGAAGACACGCGAAGACACGAAGATACGCGAAGACACGAAGACACGCGAAGACACGAAGAGGCTTCAGGTCTTCAAGGCTTCAGGTCGTCACTAGGCTTCAGGTCTTCAAGGCTTCAGGTCGTCACTAGGCTTCAGGTCGTCGCCAGGCTTCAGGTCTTCAAGGCTTCAGGCTTCAGGTCTTCAAGGCTTCAGGTTGACACCAGGCTTCAAGGCTTCAGGTCGTCGCCAGGCTTCAGGTCTTCAAGGCTTCAGGTCGTCGCCAGGCTTCAGGTCGTCACCAGGCTTCAGGTCTTCAAGGCTTCAGGTCG